TGAAATCACCTCGTTGCGATGTCTCAAAGTACTTCACAGAATATACTGTATATTTTGTGGGCGAACTGCAGCAACCAATTGCATACAGCAGTGTCCCACAAACAGTTATGGATTGAGTCACATTTAATTACCCCCAGAAAGTGATCCGGCAATCGATTAACAACCGGGTTCCTACTTACTGCTAGGTAAACAGAGGCGTAAGGAAGGATTTCACACTGCCCGGGAATCGAACTTGCAAGGCGAGTGCTCTAAATAATATGCGACAGGGTTCCTGCATCAGCGTATTCCACATTCCAACCATTCTCTGTGGAACAGGAGCACTGGGGAAATGAGGGAATATTTTGCTTCAATCTGGTTGAATCATCACTGCTTATGGCACTGTGGAGAACTCAGCCGTAATTCTGCATTCATATTTAAATATGAATGCAGAAATGGCTCTGCTTATTCTAAATGGAGCAATTAGAAGCATAACTGGTAGAATGTCTCAATATTTGTGTCCTGAAACAGCAAAAGAAACCTTTCTGCGCTGGCACTGAAAAGTGGTTCAGGAAGTCAAATGTCAGAAAGGAGCTGGTAACTGCTGGGTGACACAGGTGACCTGAGAACCTTTGGAACCAAAATATTTCTGGCTTCTCTCTTTCTTCAGTCGGTCAACAAGAATGCTGTCAACCCCAGGGGCAAGAGTCAGAATTAGATAGCTCTAGGATAATGCAGCCATATACCCTTACTATAGCTAAATAGTTCCATTTGATCATTAAAGCTTTTGTTCTTGTCTCGTTCCAGTTGAGAAATGTCAATGCTGGCCACATGCATTGTCCATGCAGCAAATATAAAGCACAAACAAATGAGCGGAGCACAGGCTAAAGCTTTGGTTACATCGCCCCAAGAACGTGAGGCTCCGAACAGCACCCTGTACTGTAACTGTAACAGTGTTAGATTTCCATTTCCTACAGCAGACATTCTTATGGGCCTCTCTGAATGAGACTGTACTTTGTACCAAGCTGTGGGGAGGTTGTGCAGTGGGTTTCTACCCACCATGTATTGGGTGAGACAACAGGAATGGTGAACAGCCAGCAAACCCGACATCATCATAATCACCCTCTTTGTGGGATGCTGCTGGTCCAAATCAGTTGCTGTGTTCGCCTGGGTAGCAGTCACTGCAGTCAGTAATTTATTATATGTTGAATATCAAGAAATATATAATGGTTTATCAACTAGCTCGACAATGCCCCCCCCACCCCCGACCCCCCCCACTTTCCTGGCTCGGCACAATGGTTAATATCCAAAATGATTAACACTAATTTTATTTATTGCTACTGATTGCAGAGGGCAAGAATCCAAGATCGCAGCATGAGCCTTTAAACCAAACCAATATCCTTGGAACCAGGGAGAGGAGGGTTTCACAGTTCATATACAGTTCCTTAATTAAGGAGTGGTGGTAATTAGGGATATACCCAAAGTACAGAGTCTATTTAGCTTTTATTTTACAATTTAGTTTTGGTCAGCCGAATGTTTCACACGAATGGAACCCCATCACCATGCTTAGCAGGATCCAAACCAAATGGAAAGTTCTGCATATGGGTGTCACCTACTCATGGAAATTAGGCCATGTCTGGAATGGGTATTCTTTCCCTCAGGGGACACATGCAACCTGCTTACCTAATTCCGCTGAGTATTAGGCGCAGGTTGGCAAGAGCCAAGACTTGTGGACACCAGACTGTGTGTTGGGGGACTGCTTGGGTCTAACCAGCTAAAACCGCATAGCTTGCCATTGAGTGCACTGTCTGGCAAGCTTCCCGTTGCTTTGCTGAATTGGTTCATGCTGCAAACATAAGGCCACCTAAGCAATAAGGAGCCAAGGATCTGCTAATATGCACCATGTTAAACTGCCATATATCTAGTGGGTCTCTTTGGAGCTATATTACAGAAAACCACAGCTTCCTTCACCACGGGTTGACCCTGAGGCCTGTTGATTTGTTGGCTGTATCTTGTTAGATACAAAGCATGACCTTTCCAACAGCTCAACGTTCAAGTGTTTGTACAAACTACGTGACCTAGTGGAGACCACCCCAGGGCAAACAAGACCTGAGTCCCCGCCCAAGCAAACAACACCGTAAGCAAACAGAAATAATAAAACTCTCCTGTCCTTATTATGTGGGGAAAATGAGCTACTATGTTTTTGAAAAATCTAAATGCATAGTACTGTAATAATTAGCTCTGTGGTATGCTGGAATAAGAGACCAGAGGACTGTCTATAGTCTAGAGTGGAGTTTAAACACCCTGAAGCATTCATTGGAACTGATAGAGAGAGAGAGAGAAAGCATTGAAATTCCTTCCAGATTGGAAACCCATTAAAAACTGAATGCACAACTGTGCTTTTTGATCTGCCAAGCTCATTCTAAGGCAAGATTACTCACACAATCAGCTATTAGCTTGCATTAATCTATCTGCCAATGTCAAATAATAGTCTACGAAATTAATTAACCACCCCACAAAAGTAACTTTTTTTTGTGAAGGGAGGCTGTGAATTTAAGACTTTCCAACCGCAAGAATTATGGTCAATTCAAGTGATGACTCCCAGCTGCCTCCTGTTTGTCCCGTAGGCAGAGTCCCAAGTTTTAATGTTTTCCCCAGTCCATAAAATGTGATGCACTGTATGAAGAAGACGTGCAAACTGTAGTTAGGTTAATAATGAATGTGAGCCAAACCCAGAAAACTTCTGGAAATGGACAGCAGGTCAATCGGCATTTGAAAGAACCATAAAGAAACGTCGCTGGCTCAAGGTCACGAAAGGGGGTCGGCTGAAGAGGATGCTCACCCTCTTACAATCCCCATCCCACTGTCTTCCATGCAGCATCAAAATGTTTCTTAAATTAGTGTAGTGTCCTAGTCTTGACCATCCTTCCTAGTAACCAGTTCTAACTGTTGATTGCTCTCTACATAAAGAAACACTTCCTGGTGTCTGACCTGACCATAATGCACCAAAGGTGTGTAAGTTCAGCTATACTCATTGGAATGCAGGCTCACATGATCAATTCAGAAGAGAAGCCCTAGGACACTATCATTCCCCCATCACAGCATTAAGCTGTTTTTCTTTTTAAGATGAGTTCAGTGCCCTGGCTTACTACTAGGCAACCTATTACAGTCATTAATTACCCTCTGGATAAAGAAATACTTTACTTTGTGGAGTCCTGTGGCATATTGGTTAGAGCACCAGCCTTGCAAATGAGAGGATTTGGGTTTGATTCCTGGGCAGGGCAAAACATTAGGCAGGTTTCATTACTCCACACCCCTCCATTTACCTAGCAGTAAATAGGAACTCAGTTGTTAGTTGATTGGCAGATTGCTTTTCCGTGGTTAATAATCTCTACAAAAAATTACAAAAATAATAATTTGGTCAGTCAATCCATGAGTGAGTGTAATTGGCTGCCACATTTCGCCCACAAAATATACAGTCAATTAATTTCATAGTATATTTTTAAAGAGCTTTGAGATGTCTTGAAGACGTGATAAGGCGCTGTATCAAATGCAAGGATTATTATTATTATTTCTTTGGTCTGTCTTGAAATTGCCCTGAACTTGTGTTCTCGTGTTCTGTCTCAGTGCATCTGAAAGTTTTGTTTTGGATTCACTTTCTAAATGCCATTGATAATTTTATGCACACCTCTACAAGATCCAGTCTAAGACATCTCCTTTCAAGTCTGAAGAGTCCTAGCATGTCTGATCGATGCTCATAGCTCATTCCTCTCACACTGGGGATCATCCTCGCTGTTCTCTGCACTGCCGCTACGGCCTGGCAGTCTCCCTTGCGTTGCTGTGACCCTGGCTCATCTCATTTCACTGAATACTTTGGCAGCCAAGAGAGACAGAAAGAACATTTCAGTGGACAGAGGGGAGAGGAAAGAGAAAAATGGTTTCAAACTCAGGACCAAGAGGCGAAACCCATTGTTCTAACACGCTTTGTCTCCTCTTTAAGTAACAAAATGTTTTGATCTTTCATCTGCATAGCTTCTAGAGTGCAGGCAATATGCAAACGTTTACTTGCCACTTATTGCTAAAAACAAAACCTACCAGTAATGATGATCATTTTGCACAAATTAACTCTGACAACCGGGAATTTCTCCCATTAACAACCGCTTCGACTCCCACCATTTCTTTCAGGCTAAGCACAAATGCCCAGATTTCGATCTCGGGAGATGTTAAATTGGAAATGTTGGCAAATTAAATTTTAAGAAGAATTTTCACAACCACAGCGGAGGGTGATATGTGGAAGTACTGAGACCTCCTGCTGATACCCCTCCTCAGAGAACGCTCTTCATGCAGCTTTGAATGCCGCTGTAACAAGTCACTTCATATCTGTAACACTCTGCAGGCAATGCCAAAAGGGGTTCAACAATCACACACCTTTACAATGCCCCAGAGAGACCAGAGGCCCCAAATTCCACCTAATCTTAACCATTAAGGCCATTTTGTCTTAAAACTTAAGAGACTGTGCACAATTGTGGAAAATTCTTATGTTCAGCCTTAAGTTCCTTTTGAAGTGCTGTGGAAGACTGACTTCCAAAGGAACATTTTTCCACAATTCTGAACCATCTGAAGACTAAGTGGTTCTTTACAGTGAAGATCTGATAGATTTTCTGGCCTTAGTAATGGACTATGTTGGACCCTGGAGTTCTGTCCAGAAGTCACTTTGAAGGCAGATAGTGCAAAGGAGCAGGTTCCAACCTGACCAGTGACATATCAGTGTCTAAACTACATTTTTCCAAACAAAATTCACAAGAGATCTGCAATATTGAACCCAACCTGAGGCTGTGTCAAGAGTGAAATTCCAACGGGTCAGTGACATGGGCAGATAATTAATGACTAATGACACCAATAACGCATTTTAACCCCTCATTGCTAGCTGTAAATAGCTCAAAATTACTTTGACCTCCCCCTCCCACAAGATACCGGCAAGCTCCTCCCTGCCCATGCGATAAGTTGAAGAGCCTGAGACAGACCTTGCGTTCAGTGTGAGTCTGGCCATTCATCAGAGGAGCTGTGGGTGACAGTTCAATGGCCTCCGGTTCGTGGAAGATGACAGGCGGTAACGGCTCCTTGCGGAGGGTCAGAACATTCAGCTTCATCTTTAACATGGTCTGAAAGTGCTGCAACAGAAAAGGAAGAGTCAAATCCTGGACACAAGAATTAAATGGTTGTAGTCCACTACCCACCGTCTCCGCTTGGCTGGCTCCAGCCTCCTGCTAGACCCTGATCCTTCTGCTCCACCATCAGCGGCTATACTTTCAACCACTACACCCTAAACTTTGGTACTGTCCCTCAATCTCCTGCCTTGCCCCAACTTCCCCTTTTTTAGATCGCGTCTGAAGACCTTCCTCTTGGACCGAGCTTACAATTACCTCCTCCCTTCCACTCACTCGGCATCAGGCACTATTAAGCACTATTAAATACTCCGAGACTCTATCCTGTGTGAAGGGTGCTATACAAATCCAAGTTGTTGTTTGTGTTGCGCATGCTCAGATCTTTTGAAGACTCATTTTAAACCTTGCTTTCAAGGTTGGGCTGATGGACAAGTCTTGTTCCAAGTCTGGAGCTCAACTACTGATGAACTACTTAACATTGAGCAACTTACAACCTTAGAACAGAGGTTTGAATGAATAAGTCTCTTTAACCTCTACCTTTTAGAATACCCACTCTACTGTCCTCATTCACAGCAAGAAGGAGTTTGCTAACAGAGTCCAGAGTCCTGGCCTCAACCTCCTTTCCTGGTAACTGGATCCAGCTGTTAATCGCACTGCCTGTGTTAAACACTTTTGATAAAGAGTTTGTGATGTGGATGGACACACCTGTGTGAACCGTTGAACTAATAATTTGCAGCTTTAAGCTCTTATAGGAGTTTGTATTAAAAGAAGTCATGCTGGAAAAATATGCAGATGAAAATTATAAGGGTACTTATAAATCCTAAGTTTTTTTTTATTATGCCCTACAGGATCCTGTGGATCTAAAAGATGTTATAAATTCCTAAGAATCCTCTGACTAATAAACTTCTCTGGTCCATTTTAACATCACACCGTGCAGTCTTGTGAAGCCTGAAACGTGCATATTATAAACTGTAATTATAGGACCATATGGAAGCTTGGAAACAGGCCAAAATGTCAGCGACTTCCTGTGGCTTCATAAGCACGAGGTCCAGCAGAATTTTTTATTCAAAAGGCAAAACGAGGCAAAAGAGGAACATACACCGAGTCAGAGTTTAAAAAAAGGCTCCCATCTGCCTTGGGAATTTCAAGCGTTCTCAAATTCCCCTCGCTGAAATTTATAGATTTAAGCTGACTCCAGCAAAAGTCACATTAAAATTGTTCTATGTAACAAAGGGACATTCCCAAGCAATATGACTCAATCTTAGCACAAATGCGCTATTCTGCTATGCGCATTTGGCTGCCACATTTTGGCCACAAAATACTTGACATCTCACCTAAAAGTGCTCCAAGACGCTTTTATTTATCGCGCCTGTCACGCCGGAAAGACGTGGCCTTAAAAGGTGCACAGAGAAACCGACTCCAGAATTAAGAAATCTGCAGAATTTTGCAAACTCTGAAATTCAAAGAGAAAAACCTAAGTCTAGATGCCCCCCCCCGCCCCCCACTCAGCTGGCTGGGTATGGTGTGTGTGTGAAACGAACCAAAATCACGCTCGGGGTCAGATCTTCAGGATTGTTCAGGAGTCCAAAACATAAAAGTGCCCATGGTTAGATGCTACATCAAATGCAAGTATTATTATTAATTACGCAACCTGCCTGATCAATCTCTGTGGCCTCATGAAGGAGTTGGGTAAAAACATAGCCTTGGGGATGGAGCTCCAGGCAATGTAAACCAGCCTACAGCTGCCGGAGCCTCTTTGATGCAGAGCACACACCTGGGCCTGGTTAATGGATCTTTGAACAGATATTTATGAGGTGAGAGGAACCCAGTTCTCTCCAATCCATCAAGGCTACACCAGGGCTCAGGTCTCAATGCTGTGTAGGGGTAGCTTCAGAGCCAAGCTGGTTGCGGAACTGAAGAGCTCCCAACCAGTCTGTGACCTGCATTTTTTGACTGGCAGTCAGCACCCACCACTGCAAGACGCAATGCCGATGTTTTGCCATGGAAACCAGATGCTGTATTTTTACCTTCCCCCTTACTAACCCCATTAGCAGAGGATCAGGATTCTCATGCAGAACTGTGCCGGGGGGTGGAGGAGTGAAGTGATATGAAGCTGATTATTTATGAGCTGAGCGCAGGATGGGTTCCAAACTCAGTAACCCACCACTGATGGCACGGTTCACTCAGGGAGTACGTGACACTGAATGCACTGTGTACCGGGTGAGATCAATACTATGCCCAAAGGTGGCTGTGATTCCAGTGCACACACAGTTACATGAACAAAATAATTCATTCAGTGTTGTTAGTCCAGAGACAACTGAATAATGGATCAGCTGTTATCATACAATAATCCTTGCATTTGATACAGTGCCTTATCACATCACCAACACATCTCAAAGCCTTTCACGGAATTTACTGTAAAGTGTAGTGACCGTGTATTTGTCGATGGATACAGCAGCCAATTTGGGCACAGTAATGTCCCACAAACAGCCACAAAGTGAATGACCTATTTTATCTGTTGACCAGGACACCAGGAGAAAAGGTTTCTGTCTGTGGAGGCCTGGGTGACTTCTTCCCTCCTGTGTTCCCGTCGTTCTCCTCACATCTTCCCTCTTTCGCATCCCATGTTCCCGGCCCGTTTAGTTTGCTATGCGCAGTGTTTGTCTGAGGAGTGAGCACAGCTGGACTGAAGTCTGGTCACAAACACTTCCATCTGGCACAGTGATGAGCTTGCGTTTTCTCAGAAGGTGTCTCGGCTTTTAGATTGTGTGAGTTTTATTTGGAAATTCTGACCTCAAACAGCTGACAGAAATGGCCCTGTTGTGTTCCATGAGCCCTGGGTGACTGTGCCATTGTATGAGTCACACCCTGAGGACCATGGTGGCCTGGGCTGGAATGCGCTCAGTGTGAGGATTAACCCTTCGAGGACTCCTGCGGTATTGTATACTACTGTAGAATAATAATAGTTATAATCCTTGCATTTTATATTACACCTTATATCATTGAGATGACTAAAAACGCTTCACACAATATATTGCAAAGTGAATTGACAGCCCCCAAATAAAATTGGTCACTCACTTCAAACGGTGAAACTCGGCTGCCAATTGCACGCAACAATGTCCCGGATTGAGTTACCACATTTTTTTGGGGGGGGAGGAATTAGTAACCCCGGAAAGCGATCTGTCGATTGACTTGGCTCTTGCCAACCTGGGGCTAATACTTTCCGGAATTAGGTGAGGAGGATGCACATTCCATTTCAACAACCTATCTCTCGGATTTCCATATGTAGGTGGGATGCATGGAATTCTCAATTTGGTTTGGAAATGGACAGCACGATGATGAGTTTGCGCATGTGCCAAACACTGAGCTGACCAAGAAAAAAAGTTTTATGATCGTGTTAAAATTGTTGTCATCTGGGAACAAACGAGGAATAGAGAACAGACTCCCACATAATACCTGGTGCATTGCTGTGATCCTGTGACTTTAGTGATTGATCAGTGTCAAAAGAAATATCACAGAGGAGAAGGGGAACGGGGGAAATTGAGCAAATGAATATAATTGCCCAGCCTCACGTAGTGTTTCCTGAGGGTCTCCTCTGTTAGACTTTTCCAATCACGTGTAACATTGGATTTTAATGAAACACCTAATTGTTACCGAATAAAAAAAAAATTGGAAAGACAATCAGCATGAAAATGAAAGCTTCCCTGGAGGGCACCCAGAGAGCACTCCTTTGTGGAGGGTGCTGAAAGCGAGGCGTGGAAACATTCAATCATATCTTTGGCGCCAGCCCAGTGCACTGAGGCATTCTGCAAACAATAAGCAGCCTTTTACTGTACCGGTCGCTTCCCTGGGCGCCGGGAGGAATGTGGTTACGTCACTCCATTAGAAAACTCAAAGGGATTTCTTTCAGTGTAACAAGCAATGAAAAAGAAGTGGTATAGAATTGTTTTGATATAAAAAGGATTCGCCCACCAAATATACAGTCGATTCACTTTACAGTATATTCTGTGAAGCGCTTTGAAGACGCGATAAGGCGCTATATCAAATGCAAGGATTATTATTATTATAATGATGAGATACCTGGGTTCGATTCTCGGCAGGGTGAAACCTTAAGTAAGTTTCCTTACTTCACACGCCTCTGTTTACCTAGCGGTCATTAGGAACCCGGTTGTTATTTGATTGGCGGATCACTTTTAATAATCCCTCAAAAAATAATAATAATTTGGTCACTCAATCCATGGTTGTTTGTGGGACACTGCTGTGTGCAATTGACTGCTGCGTTTCGCCCATAAAATGTACATCCAATTCACTTTACAGTATATTTTGTGAAGCGCTTTCAGATGTCTCAATGACATGATAAGACGCTATATCAAATGCAAGAATTATTTTACTTTAATTGTATTTGATTTTTAAATGAACACACACTCGTTTTGGCAAAAAGGAACCTTTGGCATTTGAAGTTATGAAATTCTAGTTGGAAAGTAAATCTCTTCCTTTGGTTCAACTCTTTAAAAGGGAAATGTATTTGCCTGAAATAGGCGCAAACTTTTAACTTTAATTTTTTTTGTGTGACTTTTAGAACTTTCTAAAAGGAATTCTCTGTACGCCTTAGCAGTAGTTGTTGGTCAATTGCTCAGAGAGCCATTTGTACTTTCTCTTCTCCATTGATTGCAAAGCAAATTGGCACTTATTTTGCTCAATTCTCTCTTATTCAAATAATATGAAGTCTTGGCCATGATTTCTGTATTGTCAGTGTAAACAGCTGTGCCATTGTCGTCATGAAGATTATGAGAGGCCCAAAATTCCACCCGGTCTCAGCCTGTGAGACCAAGATATAGTACAGTCTTAGTACAGTAGAGACAATTAATCACATTCATTGGGACAGCCAGCCAGACCACAGCATCAGCTAAAAATGTTTCCATCAAGAGTTAGATGGTCACACAGGTACCATGCTGCTCCTTTTCCTTTTTTACTGTCTTTCTCTCTTTGTTCATCTTTTTTNCTCT